GGGGGGGGAGGGCGGCCAGAGCGCCGGGGGGAGGGCGGCGAGCCCGGCTGTGGCCCCGCGCTCCCCGGCGGCCGGAGCGCCGCGCCGCCCCCCTCCAGGTGCCGCCCCAAGCACCAGCTTGGGTGCCTGGTGCCTGGAGCCGGCCCTGATGCTCTGTACACAGAGAGATACACTAGCTGGCAATTCTGACTGGTTGCTAAACAATGGTCTTTCAACTGTCTCTCACTTTATGCTATTGCTTTCATTCTCAGCGTGCTTATGAATGCAGCTATGCTTGTTTATGCATACCTTTGAGCAGAAATATGGCCTAAAGCCCAAGCTATGATAGGGTCAGACAACTGTAAAAGTATTAATTGCAAATAACAATCTTAAACCAAAATTCAGTTCAAAAAGTTATATTGTCATTAACCCAAAGCAAAAATAATAAGCAGTGCCATCCACTAGAACTGAGAGATGTACATTAGAATCAGGGCTTTAGCTTTTATTTTTTTATAATGCCAAAGGTATGATAGTCAAGGTCTGAACTAAGGAGGAAAAACAGAAAAGATTTTAGATTTCATTTAAATAAAATACCTTTTCTGTCTTCTGTCAACCCTATTACATGTCTTGATTGAACTGTTTGTCTGTGGTTGCAATATGTTGTTATGGAGTCAATGGGATTAGTTTTTCAAATGGTGTAAATCATTATAGCTCCAGTGACTTCAAGAGAGCTACAAATTACATCAGGTGTGGATCTGGCCAGTATGTCTTAGAAGTTTTGACTGTTATATACTAAAACTGCTGCAAGAATAGAAAACATCAGTTGCATTTCCAAATAAAAAAGCAATGTAAGGGATCCACTATACACATTTTCTGCTGTGCACTATACATTGGTAGGTTTAGATCTTGAGCTACTTGCATTTATTTGATACAAAGCCACAAACACTGGTCCCTGTGCACAGCCTATGTAAATGGGCTTTCAGGGGCTTGGACAGGCTGCAGAGCCTTGGGCTGCAGTAGCAGCTGTTGTGCATCCCTTTCTACATGTAGGAGTGTGAGCTTGGCTAGCAGAGCCACTAACCATGCCCCCAGCCATAGAGGCCTCTGTGTGCTAGGCCAATGGATCTTTCTCCGAGCATAGGTCTGAGAATGCAGGGCAACAGACCCCCCCAAATGTGTTTTCTGCCTCCCCATCTTCCCTTTCAGTGGATGTGCACTGGCTGCGGCTTGTCCCTCAGGGTAGAGAACTTGGCCTACAAGATGCTACTAAGAATGCACAGGCCTACTGTGACACTGTGCCACATATTCTTCATAGAGATATTATTGTGATACAATTATGGCATAACTATGATGTATTTTATACAAATAGACCATATGAGATACCATTGAAAAGGTTATGATTTACTGAATGATTATCCTATTTGTATGTATGTATAATTTTGGTATCTGAATTTAGGAATATTGTCTATGCATCTATTACAAATGTGTTTACACCTGGGGAATGCTCACTAGGCAAAATGCCATCACTAGTAAAAAGTTTCTGCAGGTTAAATTTTGTCCTCACTGACATCTGTACAAGCTTGTTGCTTTCAACTGGTTACTGGTATAAATAGGTGTAACTGGCTCTATAATTGGAACTTTCTGGTGATGAAGCACAAAAAGCCATAAAATTCAGCTCCATTTCTCTTAGCCCTACAGTACCAATACAGCTACTAGAATTCAAAACTTTTTTGTCAGCAAAGTCAGCAGATAGGACTTTAAATACCCTTGGGAAGCCGATGTGAGGAGGAAAGTGCTGTTTTTACAGTCTTAGCTCTGAGTAGACTTGCACATTAACTTGAAGAGTACCTTGGAAATGCACTAAATTATGGCAAAACTGCAACTCTGCCCACAGGACCCATAAAGAAGAAGAATTTAATCAAATAACCACTGTTTGTTTCTATCACTACTACTGTAAATAATGAAAACATAATTCTGAATCTCAGAACAATTGTGTTGAATAAGAATTACAGTATATACTTATTATTTGTACATAAAATAACATAAATGAACACCTAAATCCCTAGGTTTGGTGGTATAGGTATAATTTATCATATGGTGATAAGTTTACTGAAGCTACAGTTTAACTTTTTTTTGCAAAACATCTTGTCATGTACAGCTGGATATTGGTAATTTAAAATTGCCAAATGAAGCAGTGCTTGTGAGGTTTTATTTTGGTCAGTGGATGAGGTGGTGTTTTTACAGTTGGATGTATAAGCAGAGAAACAGTTCACTCTGCAAAGCTCCGCTTGACTCCTACAGCAACCAAGCTTGCTCAGCAGTAGAAAGAAATCTCTTCAAAAAGCTTTTGTGAAAATAGCGTACAGGAGTGGGTTTGTGCAGGAGTTGACTGGATAAAACAAAACAAGCAAAACCTTGGGAGTTTGTCACTGTGAGAGGTACTTTAAATGCAAAAAATGAGATAGGTGCCATGCAGGTAAAATCTATGAAGATCAATATTGCCATTCTCTTTGCAATCTTGGTATCTTTGTTTGTAGCCACCAGTTCTGGATTTTGAACTGCTATATGAATTTTAATATAACAAGCACAAATTATTATAGACAACAACATTTAACACTAAGACAATCAATATGTAGGCTTGGGAAAGAGACATTTCAATATCCATGAGTAAACAAATACTGATCTTCATGTAACTGCTGACTCCTAAAAGAGGCAAAGCTACTATTATAACTGAAAATATCCAGCCTGCAAGCACCATCACTATAGTATACCTTTGTCTCAGTTTTCTATCCAATTGCATTGCATAGGTGATGGTGTGCCACCTTTCTAGAGTGATCACAGTTAATGTATAAACTGAAAGTTCACTTGCAAACACTGAAAAAGCCAGCAATACTGCAACCACTGCCTGGTTGCCAGGCTATTGCATGGTTGTAGTACTGACTCCTGGTTTGGGCATCAACAGAGGCAATAAGCAGCAAATAAAGTCCAAGGCAAAAATTGGCAAAGGAGAGGTTGCACGAGGAAGAGCGGAACAGTGAGTTTGTAATGGCTAGTTAGTAGAAAAAGGAATACACTGAAATTGCCAGGGTATTAATAAACCAAATCAAGATTCCGAGAAAGCTGGATCCCATGGTAGCTTCACAATGCATCTGGTTCTGGAGTGCATCTGAGTGTTTTAGGCTGACAAGTCATAATAATCAAAAGCCAGCCATCTCATTCTTATCAAAAATAGTGGAACAGTTATAAGGAGAGTAACTTTCATTTGTTGCAAATTCAGATGAGTTCTTCTCAGCAGACCACAGGGCTCTGTTGTAATAATCATTCTTATAATTAGCTAAAGAAACAAATCATGCTTTTTGTTACAACTAGTAAAATTTCTATTCTAAAGTAAAAATAAACACAGAACTGGTGAAAGATTCCTTGAAAGCTAGACGCCTCTTAGATTTATTTCTATAGATTCAGTATTTGCATGAATGTGTACAATGAAGCTATTGGTAAAGGATCTATTTACTTTGGAAAGCAAGTGTAGAGAGACAATAAATGAATGTCACATCCAAAAAAATCCCTTCTCAAAATTTTGCTCATTTACTTCCCAGCCAACCCACTTTCAAATAGGGTGACCAGATCACAGAGGCGAAATAGCGGGATGCGGGGGGGCGGAGCCAAAAAATAAAAAAGCCGGTGGGGAGGGGGGGGAAAAAAAAAAGCACGAACAAGCGGGAAGCGCCTAGGCTGGCGCCGGCCACATGCAGATGTGAACAGCGGCCCTCGGGTCCCGGGACGCAACAACCCCTGCCCGGAGCCCGAGGACTGACACCCCGACGCTGCGGAGATGGGCACGGACAGGGGGAGCGCCCCCGCCAGGTCCCTGCGCGGAGACCGGCCTGGGCTGGCCGCAGGCGCACCAGCGTGGGGCAGCCCTTTCCCTGGCGGGCTCGGGAGTGCGGAGCTGTAGTGACCTTCGCGCCACTGGGCTACACCCCGCTGGAGAAGTGGGACCTTGCCGCAGCCCCCAGGCTGGGACTCGCCCCAGCATCGCGGGACGGGATCTCCTCACCTAGGGTCGCACACCCAGCCAGGCACACACTGCTCCCCCCGCCCTGCCCCCCGGAGGCGGACAGACTCACAGATTCTAATTATCCCCAGCACCGTGACGGAGCTGCCGCCTGACCGGCCCTTCCAGCCGCTCCTCCGCCTCTCCCTCGCTGCGTGTCAGGCAGAGACATGTGCCTGGCACCCGGCGCCAACTACACTTCTCCGGGGCCAGGGCGCACGTGGCGGAGGTGAAGCCCCGAGGAACTGGAGTCCCCACGCGGGCAGCTGCTGCCTCCTCACCCCCACCCATGGGCGCGTAGGGAGCCGGTTCCCCAGGCCGGACCCGGGGCTGCCCCCCTGCAGGTACCGCCCTGCCTGCCTGCCTGCGCTCGGACCAGGGCCAGGGCCAGGCCGGACTCACCCCGCCATCCCCGGGCCTCCTCCCGCCAGCGATTGCCTGGGAGGGAGGAGGAATGCGGCGTGCTTCGGAAAGAGGCGGGGATTTGGGGAGGGATCCAAAGGGGCAGTGAGGGGGTGGGGCCAGGGCGGGGATTTGGGGAGCTATCCAATGGGGGAGGGAGGGGGCACGAGCCGGAGCAGAGGGCAAAAATTGCTTGTTTGTCCAGTGTCCCGACCAAACACAGGTCGTGACGTGGGACAAACGAGCAAATATCGGGACAGTCCCAATAAAATCGGGACATCTGGTCACCCTACTTTCAAATGATGCTGATATACAGTTTGTACTGTACTAATAATGCACATGTTGACCAAATGCAGGAGTTACTAAAATATATTCTTCTTATTGTATTTATTTGTATTATCATAGAGTGCTCAGGATATAGGCTTGTCGAAAAATCAGAGAGGCCTAACTAAAATAGGGTGCCTAAAGATTTCATTTGTGTTTAGTACTACTAGGAAAGGAAACCGTATCAGGACTGTGTGTATATGCGAAACATACTGTATGGTTCAGAAGCTATTAAGAATATGAGAGCAGAAATATCTTCAAATAAAGGTTGAATATGGAAAAATTGGTGCATTAGGACTGCATAAGGTCTAGACTGTGCCACTGTCTTAATCAGCTGAGCAAAGCCAAACTTTTTCTGGGCTTGGCTCTGAGTAAGGACTGCTCAAAGTGCAGATCTGGTCATGGAGTGGGGAGAAGGTAGAAAGAGCAAGCAGGAGCTAGACCGCCACATGCTCTCTCCTGCCAGCAATTGGGCAGGGTCTAGGCAGATTTCACAGTACTACTTTTTTGCTGGGTTGCATAGGGTTGGGGGTGGTGGTGGTAAGTAAAGTGTGCCATTGCAAGGAGTGCAGAAACTAACTTCTCTCTGCCCTATAGAGCAAGAGTGGAGCAGGGGAGGATGATTAGGCCAGAGGTAATCAATTATTTTTTGTCAAGGTCCAAATTTCTTGATCAAGGTTCAGACTCCAGAGAAAATAATAAGTACATAAAAGGATTCTGCTGTCTGTTCAAAAGCATCTGGCAGTCCAGATTTGGCCCACGATAGACCTGTTGACTACCCCTGGATTAGGCCTTAGATTATCCTAGTCATAATGTCTTCCAGGGCAGTGCTGCTTACTTACAATCTTTTGTGAAGGCTGTGCCTAACAGCACTGTTTAACCCATATATGACTAAGTATTTTCTCTCTCATACACACACTCTCTTAGCACAGGCCTTTAGAGTTATTTTATTGTGGAATTTATTTTTCAAGAACCAATACCTGAGAGTATTTTCTATGGACCAGTGGTTTGATTTTTAACTCTTTGACCATATCTGAATTGTCTAGATAGGATGCCTCTGCTCTGCTGATGCAGATATTGGGTATGGTAAGTGCTAACATTCCACGGATGGTGGCACCACAGCAGGTGCTATGGAAAGGGCAGTGTGATGGGGGTGTGCATATCCTGCACTGGGAAAGAGGGGGTTAACCCCATGCTATGGGCAGCAGAAGTCCCGCCCCTGAGAATGTAGAGGACATGCTCCAACTGCTACCTTAGTATAAAATGGAGCAGCCCAGCTCATTCTAGACTGACCACCAAGGTGAGAGCATGCTTGGTAGAGGCTCTAGGCCAGGGGCTGCTACAGCCGTGGACTGCAGGAGCCCGAGAACCTGGAGACCAGACTGGTGACCTGCTACCTTCAGCGAAGGGCCAGGAGCTGGACTTCCAGAGAGATACACCATTGGGACCCCCAGCTTCCCTTGTTGGGGTATCGGCTGCTATCTCAGGAATCGCGTTAGGAAGTGGCCCAGGGAGGTTGGGGGAGTGGTATCTACCACCTGAGCAAGGGCAGCATGTTGCGATTGGATAGCCCGCTGAGTGGGTGACAACCACACCTGTCATCGACAGGGGCCCTGGGCTGGGACCCAGTGGAGAGGGAGGGCCCGGGTCCCCCACCAGAACTGCCACCCTCCTTGAGGTTGCTGCCCACTCCCCTGGCACCAGCTGCTAGGCCACACTGCCCTGACCCTAGTGACAGTTATATTGATGCTGGCCACTGGGCCACACTCAGCCCTGACCCCAGAGGCAGTCATATTGACTCTGGTCTCTAGGCCATGCTGCTTTCAGCTGAAGGACAGTCTGGTAGACTGCAAGCATGATGATATCACGCCCCACCCCGCCCCTCGACACATGGTGGAGAACATGGGCAGACAGTCCTTGCTGAAAGGCCCCAGGAGGAGGAGTTTGTTAGCAGCGTAATCCTCCTTTGCCTGCCTACTTGTCGTTCTGCCCAAGATGGAGACTGACAAGATTCTGAAATGACTGTTGGAAAGTCAACAGCAATGGGCTACCCAACGGCAGCAACACCAGACACAGCTGTTGCAACAAATCCTGGCCCAGCAGCAACAAATGATTAAGGAACTGGCAGTGCAAACCAGACCCAAGAAGAATGCCTGATCCAGCAAATGGCCACCCTGATGCACCCGATGGACGTGCCGAACCCTGGCCCTGCCCACCAGTCTGCCAATATGACTGTCAAAAATGAGACCCAATGATGACCCCGAGGCATTTCTGGTGACATTTGAATGGGTAGCCACCGCTGCCAAGTGGCACCCAGAGCATGGGGCTACACTGTTAGCTCCCTATCTGATGGGGTCAGCCCAGGCAGCCTACCGGTGGTTGAATCCACAGGCTGCACTAGTGTATGAAAGAGTGAAGGCTGCCATTATGGAGTAGGCAGGAATTAACCTTGACATGCATCGCTGATGCTTCCAGCAAGAAAGGTACCTGCCAGGGGCTAGACCCTGGGTGATAGCCCAATGCCTGCTGGATAATGCCTGGCAATGATTGGAGCCAGAGAAATGGCCAGGGGCCCAAGTAGCAGAGGTCATTGTCCTTGAACAGTTCACCCAGATCCTCCCGAGTGTAGGAAAGGAGAGGGTGCAGCGGCACTGACTAACAACACTGGCAGAGGCCATAGAACGGATGGATGACTACTTGGCGGCCAATGGGTTGGAGGCACAGCTATGGAAATCTGGGAGCCGGAGGAGGGATGGGCTGGCTGGGGGAGTTCCTCTGCAAGATGGACCCAGGGGAATCCCGACCCCTCTCCCAACCACCCCCCCCACCCTCGAATGCCAGTGTCCATGAGCCAGACCTGGACCAACAGGGAAAGAGACCCTCAGAAGAGACAGAGCCCACCGAAGGTGGACCTGGGACTGGGGAAACCCAAGACCACTGCTGGGAGTGTGGCTAAGAGGGAGACTTTCAGAGGGGACTGCCCCTACATGGATTGTAGTTATGGGCAAGTCTCCATAGCCAGCCCTCAAGCCCCATGGAAAGGTCTGGAAAAACTTGTAGTCCCGGTTCTAGTGGAAGGAATCCCCACAACAGCCTTAGTAGACTTGGGCTGTAGTCAGACGATTATTTGGGAGGGACTCATTCCTGACCTTGAACTCTCTGGGACAAGGATACACCTACAGCATCCATGGGGATATACAGCTTTACCCAATCACCTGGGTAAGACTTGAGTTCTACAGCTGGGGAGAAACCCTCCAAGTCAGTGTAGCTCCCAGGTTAGCCTACTCTCTGGCATTGGGATAATACTGGCTGGAATTTGGGGAAATCCTGTGAGACCATGGCCGACGACATCCAGGAGGAGGGAAGGGAGGATCAATGAGGGGGGAACTCTTTGGTCACCCCTCAGAACCCAACCCCAGAGAAGGGCTGTCTAACCCCCCTGAGCCACCCGTCAAGTCCCCTCCAGGCATAAAGCATCCCATCATAGATGCCCAGGTGGAGTGGAGCATGACAGAGACTTCATCCAAGAGCAGAGGGAGGACCCGCCTTTAAGTCAAACCTGGGAGCAAGCGGCGACCCCAGACCAAGAAGGAGACAATGTGCCACACCCTCCACAAGGACCACGATTTGAGATCTGGGGAGACCGCCTCTACTGAGTGGTACAGGAACCACAAATACAGGAAGTTATCTGACAGTCTTGGTGCCCCAGAGTTTACGCCGGAGCCTCCTGCAGCTGGCTCATGCAGTACCCTGGGCGGGACATCTGGGTAGAGAGAAGAACCTCCAGAGGATAGCATGCCAGTTCTTTTGGCTGGGCATACACCAGGAGGTAAGGGATTATTCCTGCCCTGAGTGCCAGCGGACTGGACTGAAAGGGGTACCCCAGGTCCCTCTTGTGCCTCTCCCCGTGGTCAGCATACCAGTCAAATGAGTTGGCATGGAACTCATCAGACCGCTAGAGAAGAGCCAGACAGGGTACTGATTCATCCTTGTACTTGTCAATTACGCGACACGCTACCCTGAGGCCATCCACTTGGGTGTGTGTGTGTGGCCACGGCCTCTAACATCGCGACGTAGTTAGTGAAGATTTTCAATTGGGTCGGGATACCCAAGGAGATCTTAACTGATCAGGGCACCAATGTGTCCTCCAAACTGATAGCCAAGTTATGCTGCATCATGAACATGTGAACCCTCCGGACTTCAGTGTACCACCCACAAATTGATGAGTGAGTTGAACGCTTTAACGGAACCCTCAAGTCAATGCTCCACAAGTTTGTAGAAGATGATCCCTGACATTGGGACTCATAGCTGCCTGCTCTACTGTTCACTGTGCGGGAGGTTCCCCCAAGCCTTGATCGGGTTCTCCCCCTTTGAGCTTCTCTATGGGAAACAACCTTGGGGCATATTCAACCTCCTGAGAGAGGACTGGGAGTCACAAGAGACACAGGTTCTGGGAACTACCCACTGTGTTTTATGACTCCATGAACATCTCCGGGCCTTGGGCGTCTTCGCTAAAGAGAACCTGTTACAAGCCCAGCGAACCCAGGACCAACAATACAACAGTG